CGATAGGAGTGGGTTGGTATGGTGTGAGATGAGGTGTTTGGAGGGAGGAGAATTGCGGCCAACTGGGGATATTTTAATGCTGGCAGTCACGTACATTTAAGGGAAACAAAGCATGCGTCAAAAGGGGACAAAAGGAGCCGTGTCTCGGAATTGCTGGAAGGCGACCAAAGGCGGTTAGAGACGAGAGGGATGGGCCACCGAAATGGAGCTCAAACGGAGCAGTAAAACGTCTCATCCCGTCATGGTAACTGGATGTCTGAGTCGGTCGGCTGAGTTTGGCGAAACTTGGGGCGAATCAGACTGATGGGGTCCGAAAGTACGATAGAAACGCGAGTGTAGTCGCAAGCGTCAAAGGGGAGAAAAGGTTCCATCATTAATCTTTTTCACAGACAATAGGTATCTGTCCACATCTCTCCTTCTCCCTCCTTTATTCTCTCTCTCTCTCTCTGAGTATCTTTTATTACAGAGTTCATCAATAGAATTTGACTCTGGAATGACTGTCAGTTCAACTAATTCGACTCTCTGTTTTGTTGAGCTAATTTCTGTTTAGAGTAAAAGTGTTTTGTGAAGAGATTCGAAGGTCGATTCCACCAAAAGATGACAGCGGATTTCTCTTTATTGGAATATTCTTGTTTACGCCGGTTCCGAGGTAACCTGCTTCGATTCCTGTTAAAATGTGCCAGGCTTTTGCCCGTCGTATGACGAACATCATCAGAGCAGGGTATCATCCTTACAACCAAGAGTCAAGCTGACGAGTCAAGAAAACTCACCGGCTCTTCCCTAACATACTGTATATACGTGAACTCTTTGATGAGGTATAAAGTGATTTGGTTAGTCCCAGTCTTATGTCAACTTCGAGGCATGTGAGCTTGTCTGTCTATTTGTGTCTTTGTCTTCAGACCGGTGAAAGGATTTGAAGGAGTCGGAATATAGACATTTTATGAGTTAGCCTAATTTCCCGCAAAAACCGCAAAAGCAGACAAAGTCCATCCCTCCGATGATTGACCATGCGATCCAGTTGAGAGGGATTTTTGAACAGATTGGACCCTGAAACCGAAGTCGAAGACCATTGCTTGGCTTGGAGGCCCAGTTTGTGGTACCTTGACCCAAAGGACAACTCGAGGTGGTGGTTCTGTTACCATGTCTAGGGAATTTGTTGTTGCCAAAGTGCCTAAAGCGATGCGTAACTTGATCTCATCAGATGTTGACGTCTGAGTCTTGTGGTTGGGCATCCGTTTGGCTTTAATATGACCTTCCGGTTGCCACAATCCACGAAACATTCTCCCTCGTTTCGGGCTAAAATGGGCTGAGCTTTTGTCCATCATAGGACGGGCATCATCGGAACTGGAACTTATTCCTTAAAAAGTCTCATGCTAACATAAAATCAAGAAGATTGTCCTGCTTTAGACAACACGCTGTATATATGCATAACTAAAAACGAAATTATATACATATAGACATATGGATACAGAAAGGTTTGGTTATATTTCTCGCATATTAATCATAGTAACTGAGTAGGTGTGTGTACGTGTATTTGTGTTTGTGTTTGGGTCAACGTCTGTATGCGTAACTGCCAGTACTGCGTACTTTGACTTATCTCTGTACAAACACGCACTCCAGTATAAGTATCCCGATTAATACGAAAGAGATCTAAACGAATCATTCTGTACCTATCTGCCCTTATTAATATTTTTCCGTTTTTAGTTATAAATACACAGAACATGCAGGATAGAGCAGGATAATCGGCTTGACTCAGTGTTCACTAGACGCTTTTGCAAATCTGGGTTGCAACTTTGAGGAGGTCCGTAGCGATGAAAGCTCAGCTCGATTTCAACCGAAACAAGGAAGGAGGTCTCGTAGAGACTGCGTCAAGCTAGACGTCTCATTAAAGCCAAACGGCTGAGGCACATCACGAATGAGTCGTCATCTTCTTATTAGTTCGACCTAAGAAGCTTTCCATAATGCACTTTCTTAGAAATGAAAAACTCTACAACAATGTTACCTCAAAAGATTCATCAAAGCACTTTTATTTTTCGTATATGCGGAGTGAGTATGATTTGTTGCTATCAGTAGATCAAGATTCGGTAATTGAGTCTCTTTAGGTCGGCTAAGCTGGCCTGGGGATGGTCACTCACGCTTATTATTACTTGAGTATAGTTTTAAAATGGCGTACTTAATGCCCTGAATCTACAAGGAATTGTGCTTGGAGGGGAATGAATGTTAGTTAGTAGAGGCTTTCCCATACAGCTATGATTAGTCCTCAATATGCCATTAGAATTTATTCATTCTTACCTCCTAAATCAATATCCTAAATCACACTTTTAGTGGGACTATCGATGAGGTAAACTTATATTTGCCACTATAATTGACGACTACTTATTTTTGTTGTGACTATTTTTCAAATAAATAACTGATTCGTGAATAAAGAATGAAGTCACTCCGGATCGCTTTGGCTGATAGTTGAATTCTAGAATAAAAAGAGTCTGCCTCATTCTGCCTTATCTTCAAAAAGAGATTATCTTTCAGCATCGAATAGGGCTTCAATCTCGCCTGATAATT